GCAGCTAGTCATCACCGCCAACTCTTGGGCTACTTTTTTACCAACAAATAGTGGGATTTACCATCACATTATAATGCCCCATGGCTGAAAAGGCAAGCATTTTTAGTGGGATGAGGATTCGACCCACGACCCTCAGATTGCGAGTCAAGCACCCTAACCACATGGGCAGGGGAGAAGTTAAACAGATACTTACTTAAACTAAAACAACAGAGCATATTTCACAAAATTTATCAAGAAATTAAACCAATAGGTTCACATGCTCAGATTTTATATGAACAATTAAAAATGTACAATGAAAATTCTCTGATAAGATTCATTGTATCAGATATTGGCTGTTGCAATAAAAAGCTGTCCAGGTATATAACTAACAATCAAAAGGAATACATTAAAACAAAGTTAGTTTAAAGGATAGTCTTGAGTTTTTAGAGAAAATAACAAGCTTGAACTTTAGTAAAGATGTATATATAATATGGTCAAACTGAATGTTGAATCTTCATTTACTAAATGAAACTTAACATTTGCTTGGATGTGCTCTATAATGACAAATATAACTAACACATATTTAGAACTTTTTAAGAATTTAATGGAAATGGCAAAAGAGTAATCACACTATTTTCAACAAAGAAATATTTCAGCTGAAGGTTGGTTCAAGTATAGTACCTACAATGGCAAATATTTTCATGTCACTATGAGAATAAATTTCCAAAACATGGATGACATTATTATAATTTTTACAGAAACTGGAATATGCATCATCATTTTTTAAGTTATCTTAATGAAAAGCATAAAAACATTAAATTTTTCAAGGAATATCAACAAGAATCTATGCTGCCTTTCTGAAATACAATCATATAAAATAAGATCAAAGATGACTTTGAGGTTGGTATTTAGCACAGGCCTATATTTTTCTGCTCTGTATATTAACTGGGACAGTTTGAATTTCATTTTAATAATATTTAAAGAAAATTTAATCAAAATTTTAATCTATTTACAAGAAATAGATAATATTAAGACAAATCTAAAGAAATACTATTGCAATTACAAGACTTTAGAATATTTAAAAGGAGTTTATGTTTAGTGTTTCAACCCTTAAACAATAGAAGTGGACAACATCATCCCAAAAAAAGAAATATTTATCACTTTGCTCTTTATGGATTTGCATGGATTAAAAATAATGCAGCAGCAGCTAAAAAAATTAATTAGAAAAGTGGATATCCAAACATAAAAATGATGTGCACATTCAAGCCTTCAAACAAATTTCAGGACTACTTTGTTTTCAAAGATAAAATTCTTACATTTGTGCAATTAAACATGATGTACCAGTACAGAAGATTATACATCATATCTATAGTTCGATGTCTTCAAGAGCATTAAAACAACAAAAACAAAGACAGATACAGCATAATCTATAACACTATTACAGAATGTGAAAACAGAAGTACAAACAACTACTAATAAACAAGTTGAAACCAAAACCATTGGTGGGACAAAAGTTTTTTTGAAGTGGGTGGCAGTCAAGAAACTAAAACATAAATATATTTATGTTCTAAAATCATTTAAAAAATAATGATCCTACAATGTTTCTGAACCAATAAAACAAACACAACAGAAAAGAGCACTACTAGACTTTATTGAAATATATTGTAAGTGTAACTTCCCCCTCCAACAGTTCCTCATTGGTTCCATAAGATTATTTGGTTACTCAGATGTGCTGAAAGTCTGGAAACCGTTGCTTTAATGAACTAAGTTACTATATCTCAAGTTCTGTAAATCTCAGTTTATACTTTACAGGTCATTAGGCAAGTTCAGTAAATCTCAGTTTATACTTTACAGGTCATTAGGCAAGTTCTGTAAATCTCAGTTTATACTTTACAGGTCATTAGGCAAGTTCTGTAAATCTCAGTTTATACTTTACAGGTCATTAGGCAAGTTCTGTAAGTTTATGATCATTATTTAAATGATACCAGTTTTTTTATTCCATTGTTTGATGTGTCTTAATTATCATAAAATTTAAAATAAAATCAACGAATCTAACTTAACGACAGCTGCAAAATATGCAAAGGGTTATCCTGAACTATATGGTAAAAATTGGTTACACTAATTTAACTACGAAAACTGTTTAAATACTAATAAAATACTTTTTGACAAATTATAGAAACTTTTATCATATATGCATGTATGAAACATACAACACGCACATCAGATTACAAACCACATATGAAGGAACTATACAAAATAACTGTATATCAACATATTATAGGTTATTTTACAATTGTAATCTTGCCTATTTCTGCTGATATTTACAGTCTTCTTGTACTACTGGCACATTTCTTATTTAATGCTCTTGCTTTACAACTTAGTATATGTTAAGAATGTTCTGTTCTTTTTTTTTTGGCTTAAAACTCAATAATAAAATAAATTTATGATTTGTATATTGATCTCTTACATCAAAAAATGAAACTATCACTTTTTCTCTTGTATTCTTACTCAATTTTTATTCCGATGAATTTATGTATTGCCTAGGCACAAAGGTTATATTTGAAACACTGTAAAAGAAAAACATTAAACCTCATCAACTAAAAGATCAATAGTATCCCCATGATTATTTAAAACCTGCGTGTGCTCAGATAAAGCATGACATGAAGACTCAACTTTGTTTTCCAGCTCCTTGATTCGCTTCTCATGTTGAAGAACAGTAGCCTGAAGAGTTTTTATTTCATTTAACAAATCTTCTAAATTCTTTTCCTGTAGTTAAGAAATGTCACATGATTATGGATCTCACAAAAGAGCAACTAAAAGCAACTATCTCATTCAATTTCTTAAAAAAGCGTGGTTTTATTAACTGACTGATTTAATAAAATACACTCTTAATATTCAGCTCAAAAAACATGAAACTACTGACTTTAATAGAAAATGGAAAATTCTGTTTAGCAAAATTTCACACCACCTTTTCTCAAAATACACACTATCAATACAGTATCTCTGACACTGAAACTTTAAATGATTTATCACAAAACCAAATACCATCAGGATACAAAAAGGACACATTTTGTAATTATGCAAGCTTAGAAAATTAACAACCTATTTTTCACATTAAAGAATTAGAGAAATTTCAAAGTAAACGTCTTCAAAACTGAAATGCATTAATTGTTTTAAATACAGTGCAAAACACTAAATATTCTTCCCACTCTGCATCAAACATAAATAAAACAACACTTTTAAGTTTATAAAACTTAAGAAGCTGCTCAAACCAATTTGTCTTAACTCTCTAGATCAAAATGGGTATGTCATGACCTTTTTACAATTACATTTGAAATTTAATTAAACTACTTCTTTATCAATGAATGTCATTACACTTGACATCAAAACATATTTTATAATTCAAATTTTAATAATATGAAAGTTTTAATTTTAACCCTATGTTATTTTCTAAGTTTCCATGGACTCACACACTTACAAGTTATATATTTCTGAGTTAAAATGAAAATTTATAGCATCTGTTCTTCATTCTTTAATGGGTTATATATATATATAACACATTATATATATACCATATACTAAAACCCACATACCCTTCTAGCTTACACTATCTTTAAATATGTGAATTGTTCTCTTTTTTTATCATTATCTATTGGATTATTTATAACCAATATAAAGAAAATATTTTAATTTACTGTTTTCCTTATGAGGTTAGTTCTGCATCCATTTCATAGTTTGTTATTGATGAGAGTATATATAGCTTAGTTAGAATGGCAATTACATCATAGTTTAGGACATTGTTTTTTGTTGTGTGTTAATATTTTGTTTTCTAAACTGCATATTTAAAATAAATAAAGTACTAACAACACCAGGTTAACTTTCATCAAGACTTCGAGAGCAAATAAGTACAAGATCCACATGTAGATACTAAATTTCTTGTATTTTATGTATATTTTTTATTCAATTATAAAAATCTGAAACTTAAGGTACATAAAAAAAATTAAATGATAAAAATACTTGATAGCACAAGCATGTCTCATGAGCACATCTTGCTGTAATTTCATAAATGGATTGAGCCTGTATAGAGTGTTAGAATAAAGATAATAACATAAAATATGGTTTGACTGATATTCATTTACGGGCTGTACACATGAAAATTGAAAACTGTAATATGAAAAAATTTATATTTTTAATCTTAACATAAAAATCACATTGCACTATGACTAGTCAAGAGCATCAGTCATACTCTGACTCCATATATTCATAGATAAGTCTTTATTATTAATTTAAAAATCTGATTTTTTGTGTGTAAAAAAAAAAAGACTTTTAATGTGTACTAAAAGCTTGCCAAATTTCTCGAAGACAGACTTACTATTATAATGTAGTAGTATGTGTAGTTTCATGGTTATGTGGTCATTGTCATGCCTGTATAGAGGATTAAGTTGCACTTCAGTTTATAAATAAAAGTACACAACCATTTAATTTTCAGCAAGTATACTGCTTAAATTATCATGTATCTAACACTATTAAATAATAATAAAAACCTGCTTATTCCTGATTGCACCACTGAGTTAACATAACTTAACTTGGCAAGAACCAACAGGGTTACAAAGTTTCTTAGGTATAACCACACATCACAGAAGACAGTTTCACATTAAACAACTTACAGGTTTAACAGAAGCAGGTTCACATTGAACAACTTACAGGTTTAACAGAAGCAGGTTCACAACTGTCACAAAAGACAGCTTCACAGTAAACAACTTACATGTTTAATAGAAGGAAGTTCATAACTGTCACACAAGACAGTTTCACATTAAACAACTTACAGGTTTAAGAGAAGCAGGTTCACATTACACAACTTACACGTTTAACAGAAGCAGGTATCCATAAGTGTTTTATACTATAACTTTTAATGTGTTTTATGTATCTTCACACAATTTAGCAAACTTTTAGTACACATTACAAATCTTTTGTACACAAAAAATCCGATTTTTTCATTAAGTGCTTTTACTAAAAATATGTCCATGAACAATGGAGTCAGAGATTTGATTTCTTTCAGTGCAAAGTGATTTTTAATTTAATACTAAAAATACTTTTTTCATCTGAAAATTTTCAAATTTCATTTATGTAACCTCTAAAACCTCCTAAATAAATATGAAATGTTTTGTTTTTTTTTCGTTAAAACTTTATTATTTTCTCTACCATAACTTTATACGGACTCTTTCGACTTGACCGACCTTGTAAGAACCATAAAAAAATTCTAAATATATCTAAATTACCCTTTTTTCTTTATAGAAAACTACAATCGTTTTATTGCCCTTTGAAACAAGTCTAACTAATAATCCCACCACATGAGTTGTAAATCACTCAGCGAACACACAGCTCACATTTTTTTATTGAATGACTTAACATACAAACTACTCACGTGCACACTTCATGAAGAATTTTTATTATTTCATTTTCATTATCTGACCTAATCTAACCTAACAAGTTTTTAATTTTTACATTTTAGTTACTTTTATAATAATTAATAAATAATATACACAAAAAAAACAAGAAATATAGTACTTACCTTTGACCTCTGGTTATTTTCCTATTAGTTCCCAATGAAATTTAAGCCTACTTTATTATATTAAAGGTACTAGTTCACTAAATTTTATTTACTTAAATAATGCACCTAAGAACACAGAATAATAGCATGCACAAAACAAACAATGTTCTATGATTATCATAATTTAACTGGCTTTCTGAATATGGCATAAGAGCTTCTCAATCTGAACACTGCAAAAGAAACTTTCAAAATTAAGACAAAATAGACAATACTCTGAACTGATATTAATGTAATATATTATGTCATTTGTTAGATTAGAACTCTGCCTTTTTATTGGTTATAAATAATATAGCATAAAACAACAGAGAATTATTGGCAATTTGTGAGAGAAGATGTGACAAGTGGGTCTGACTTTCTAGTTTATGATACCATAATCAAACAAGATTGAAAGCTATAAAAATTAGACTTTGCCTTAGTAATATCTATATTATAATAAGTAATTTACATTAAATGCCATACTTCAGAGAGAGAGAGAGAGTAGTAAATAAATTAGAGAAGGGAAAAGATATAGAGAACAAAAATCACAATTTTCATACTGGGGGATACTGAGGATTTTTTTAAATTTATTTATAAAATTAAGAACTTAAAACTTATATAATATTAAAATTTTATTTATTATGCTAAGTTTATTTGTATACATTGATAATAAAGTAGTTTAATTAAACTTTAAATGTAACACAAAGGTCGTGACATGCGCACTTTGACCTACCTATTTACATATTTAAGAGAAGCAAGTTCCCAATTTTTCACAAAAGACAGCTTTACATTAAACACTTTACAAGTTTAACAAAAGTACGTTAACAGTTGTCACAAAAGACAGTTTTTTACATTGAACACTTTACAGGTTTATCAGAAGCAGGTTGACAGTTATCACAAAAGACAGCTTTTTACATTAAACACTTTACAGGTTTAACAGAAGCAGGTTCACAGTTATCACAAATAACAGTTTGATATTAAACACAAGTTTAACAGAAGTAGGTTAACAGTTGTCACAAAAGACAGTTTTTTACATTGAACACTTTACAGGTTTATCAGAAGCAGGTTCACAGTTATCAAAAAAGACAGCTTTTTACATTAAACACTTTACAGGTTTAACAGAAGCAGGTTCACAGTTATCACAAATAACAGTTTGATATTAAACACAAGTTTAACAGAAGTAGGTTAACAGTTGTCATAAAATACAGCTTTACATTAACACTTAAAATATGGGCTCGGTCAACTTGACTGACCACGTGACCTTTTTGTACTCGTTTAAAGTCTTTATAGATTTAATACTTATAACTCTCAATATAGTGGGTATATCTTCATGAACTTTGGTAGTCTTTCAGATATAAAAACTCATATTTCTTAGTGAAGTATTTTTCAATAAAATAAAATAAAGATTTGTCCATAACTATATTGAGTATTTTTTCAATAGTCTGTGTGCAAAGTAATTTTCATGTTAAAATTCAAAATACTTTTCCTCATCTCAAAAATCTCAAATTTCCTTTGTGTAATCCCTAAAACCTCTTAAATGCATTTCAAACATTTTTTTTTCAGTAAAACTTTATAGTTTATCTGTTATTTTCTCTACTCTATCTCAAAACGGGATCAGTCATTTCGACCAACCTTGTAACCACCAAAAAAAAATCGAAATAAACCTAAATTACCCTTTTTTTCTTTCTAGAATGACTTCAAATTGTAACATGAAACTACATTCGTTTTTCCTACGTAGCTCTAAGTTCGTAACATTATACATCTATTTATAATTAAATTTTATTACTTTATTGCCCTTTGAACCATGTAACTACTATTCACACCATTATAAGTTGTAAATCACTTGGGGAACATGCAGCTCACCTTACGCTATCAAATTACATTACCCACGAGCTGCTCGCATGTGTGCCTCATGAACCATTTTAATTATATTATTATTACATATTTTACCTAATCAAGTCTTAAAATAACTTAAAAAGATCTGTATTTTTAGATTTTAGTTACTTTTACAATAATAAATAAAGAATAAATATGAAAAACAAGAAATAAAGTACTTAACTTATCTTCTCTTTTTCTTGCTATTGGGTTTCGAAGATAGTTAACCATAATTATTTATACTATTGATAGTAATGCACTTAATATTTCTTATTTAATTAAATAATGCACCAAACAATATAGACTATTAACATGCAAAAAATAGACAAATTCACTTACTTCTCAAAATTTTCATTACTTTCTAACTATGCGACAAGAGCCGTTACAAATTCACCCAAGCTAGTCGTTAACTTCCCATGGGAAAGAATCTTGTACTGTGAGTGAAATTGACGATATTCTATTCAGAATATGACGTTAAAGAATATGTCATTTGATAGATGAAAATCTTGACTTTCTATTGGTTATAGGTAATATATATATAATGAAACGTAAATTGAAGACTATAATAATTATGGTTTGTCTGAGCAATAAAGATTTTATAAAAAGTAATTTATGTTTAATTTCTTACATTTTTAAGGGGTGATGGATAAAATAAGGATGATGACATGCTAAGACAAAATGTGTCATGTGGGTCACACTAGTGGAAATTCAGGATTTTTTTAAATATTCCCTTGTAGAATTAAGAACATAAAACTTGTATACTATTAAAATATTGATTATTAGCTAAGATTTTATGCTATTGTAATTGGTATAACGTAAATAAAAAGTAGTATAATAAAATTTTGAATGTAAAACACTAAAACCTTGTGTCATTCACCGTAAAGGATACCTGGGGAAAGAAGGTTAAACACTTTACAGGTTTAACAGAAACAGGTTAACAGTTGTCACAAAAGACAGCATTACATTAAACACTTTACAGATTTAACAGAAATTTGTTCACAGTTGTCACAAAAGCCAGCTTTACATTAAACACTTTACAGGTTTAAGAGAAGCAGATTAACAGTTGTCACAAAAGACAGCTTTACATTAGACACTTTACAGGTTTAACAGAAATAGGTTAACAGTTGTCACAAAAGATAGCTTTACATTAGACACTTTACAGGCTTAACAGAAATACATTCACAGTTGTCACAAAAGACAATTTTACATTAAACACAAGTTTAACAGAAATACCTGTTTGTACCTGATGATGGCAAAACCTTGTCGAAACGTTGTACATTTGCTGTTACGTTAAACTTATATCAAAGTTTTTATTCATTACCCATTCAAGCTGTCTCCAACCATTAACAGAAATAGGTTCACAGCTGTCACAAAAGACAGCTTTACATTAAACACCTTATAGGTTTAACAGAAGCACGTTAACAGTTGTCACAAAATACTACTTGACATTAAACAACTTACAGGTTGAATAGAAGCAGGCTCACTTGATGGCTCACACTTCTTAGATACCATTTTATCAAGAATATTGGACTTTTTTGTTACCTTCAACTCTTGTTTTTGGGTAGGAACATAACCATCTTTCAGGTAGACCTAAAGTACATCATAACAATAAAGGATAATTGCATATTTATGTTGACCCAGAATCACAAATAGTAAGATCTTTCGTTATGTTTTTGAAGTTAAAAAAGTCAGAGTTAAAATTAAATAAAAAACCTTTGATTATTTAGCTAGTTCAAAAAACAACGGTAATCTAGGTATAAAAAAGCCACCTAATGATGAGACTTTAAATATGCATTTTTGTTCTATTAAAGAATTTTGTTGTTCAAAAAGTGACATAACCATTAAAAAAATTACCTCATAATTAAGGGAATGATATTTCAACTGAATATTTATAAAAAACGAAATCATCAGAAATACTTCTTTATGCACCAATACATAATAAAGACTTCATATGTTTTTACCACATCCATCCATTTTTAGTTCTTGTTCAATATATTAAATTTTGAATGACTGTTTTTAACCTGTAAAGAACTATTTAAATTATAAACACAAAATAATTAATCACCATGCAAAAATATTATTGATTATTTACCTTATATATTTTATAAATTACATCTCAACAGTGAGCCCTTGTACTGAGAAATACAGTTTTTTGAATCACCCAACACAGTCAGCTTACTTTAATATTTCATGTTAAAATCAGCTCAACAATAATGGCTACATTTTCTGACCAGCCTAGATGTGATGATACAGCCAACTCACCAGTAATGGTTCTGCATCCTTTCCTTCAGCCCATTCTTCAGCAGAGATGGCTGGCATGTCAGCCAAAGTTAGCGGATATAGATCATCCTGAAACCTATCAGACTATGAAAAAAAAAAGAAAAAAAAGGTTAGGACTAATTACAATTACACAGGCCTGCAAATATAAACTTCATAAAACTTGTTTTGGTTTTAATAATGGATTTTCCATAATTAAGCTATGCAGATTTTCAAAATAATATTGATTTTTTTCAATCACGTAAGGATTTTTTACAAATCGGGAAGAAAAAAAACTCTTACTTAAATCAAATTATTATTTTGTTTACCACAATGAAAATTTTTTATTATTATATTTGTTAACAAAAATACAAACTGAAGAAAAGGGAAGAACATTGATGTCAAATGAATATGCATTCCTTTTTTTTTGGGAAATCTAAGTCATTTAGTCTCAAAACTATGTGTTGTGGTCTTTCTTATATGTATTGCGTCTGGAGTATCTCGTTTCAATGACCAACAGAAATTAGCCATCATGCTGATGTTCCACCTTTGCTGGTACCTCCTCTCCATTTCCCTGACATCTTGATGCAACCTTTCCCTTTGTTCTTCACCGATGGCACAGAGATTTTCAGGGAAGTAGTCAATATGCAACTGTAAGAAATGAACTTTCAAGCCCATATTACAACCAAACTCTTTTAATTTATTGAGCATGTTATTGACAATATTTTCATAATTTGGGTCCTTGTTGTTTCCTAACAATTTGTCAATAACATCTTCAAAGGCAATCCACCTTCTTTCTCAACTTTCCTCATTGTACTTTCGAACCGTTCACCCGAAGTTAATTTCCTAATCTGAGGCCCAACAAAAATCCCTTCTTTAAGTTTTGCTTCTGAAAGAGATGGGAATTGCCCACATAGATACTTGAAACAGTTGCCATCTTTGACTAAGGCCTTTACAAGCTGCTTCATCAATCCCAATTTTATGTGAAGTGGAGGTTACAGGACTTTCTTTGTGTCAACCAAATGTTCAAGTTCAGTGTTTTTCAACCCTGGTATCAGGCTGACTCTGCATAGCCATTGCTTCTTAATACAACAACTTTACCACAAATATAACAAAATATGTTTGGGACATTTACACAACCTCTTGTTGCCATAGTGATGAATAAATAATATTGAAAAGAAAAAAATAATGTCAAAGTGCACACACAAACAAAACTATCCAGAAATTACATGTCATGCGGGCTGTTAACCATTTATATGCTAGAGGTGTGTTTCTCATGGATTCTAGAATGATCGATAAGACTCTCATGTCACGATTGGTCTAGAGAAATCTATAGCCAGTTGTTGTCAACATTTTAAGCATGACAAAATGTGACCCTATTTCAATGAAAATGATTCACTCGTGTAAAAGTATACACGACATTTTGTGAAAAAAGCTGTACATGATGGAGAAAAATTAATATCATTTTTGGATTCAGCATACTGGAATTACTGCAGAACATGTAAAAATATCAAGACAATAAAACCACTGCAGGGCTGTGTTATGCCATCTACACTCTAGTTCTAGAAGTATCCTGAAGTTCTAACTGACACCAGATTGAATAACCTGATACACTGAAAGCATTTTCAATATTCAAGTAAACATTCTAAAATGAGCTTTACAGCTCAAAAAAGAAGTGTTCATTTGTAAAAAAAAGGTTTATGTTAAAAGTGGCTACAACTTGATAAAATGCAAATTATGTACTCAAACACATCCCTGAATATCTCTTAAAAAACGACAATTTCTCTTATTAGTCAGCTCAGTTTAAAGATTCATTTTTAAGTGGTGGTCTAAAAACAGTCACTGCATTAAAAAGAGTAAAAAGATAACTAATATATATATTCATTTAAAATCTTCTGCCCAACTTTCTGATTAAATGTACTGTTACAGTGCTCTATTATGCCTAGGGTACAAATAAGCACCAGAACAATATGACAGCAAATATTAATAAAATATGATTTGTTTTTAAATCAACTTAAATAAATTTAAAATGGATTTAAACATAAACAAAACATAGCCCAAAACAGAAAAATATTGAAAATTAGTTGAAATAATCATTTAAAAGTTGAACTTGAATATAGCAGATACAGCGTGATTGACATATTATTACACTCTTCTTTATTTTTGTTAGTTCTTATAATGCTAAAAGGTGATGAACAGGCAAACTTATTTCCAGTTGATTGATGTTAAATAATTAGAGGAGAGAATAATGAAGTTAAAAAAAGTTTACATTGGAAATATTAAATGTTTAGGGAAAGATTCTCAAAAACTGATGTTGACAGAATTTGTTTACAAAACACGAAAAAAAAAAAAAAGCATACTGATCAACTCGGAAGTGTATCCCACAGAAACATAACAGAAAAAGCTAGAATACTGCAGTTTCTAGTTAGAAGATCAATAAGAGAAAAACACTGTAAAAGCAAGCTAGTGAAATGATAATCATAATGATGAATTTCTTTTTTTTTAATCATTTGATCCAAAACAAGTATTAATAAACCTCATTCAAAAGAAAGTTTAAAATCTCAAGATTTCAGTTATAATTTGAATTTGGAGAAAATCTGTAGGGATACATCACAATTTTCAAAAATTTTATGTTGCATATTTTCTCTGAGTACAACCAAGAATACCCAGACTGGAAAGAATTAAGTAAGCAAAGTTTATAGTGTTCTTGTAGCATTTGTTCACAATAAGCGTGAACAGGTTTACAGTGTAGCATTAGCTCCACTACTTAAGGTTCAAAGTGTTTTTGAAGCTTCATTGGTGAAATTCAAGTAAGATTTTGGAGTTCACATAAAGTATGTACATACTTTATATTATGGTAACAAAACTGAGGAAAAACAAAAAGACAATTGCACATTTCACAAATATTTCATATATTACTACCATGCTTTTTTCTGACAATAACTTTATTGCCATGTTATTGTTAAATATTTGTGAAATGTACAACTGTCTTTGTTTTCCTCAATTCTATAATTATGGAGTTTTACTAAGTTCTAGTATTAATTATATGTAACTTGGTATTTAACATAACTTAGGGTACATCTTCAATCAGTGTTTTCTTTTAACTTTTATCATAGTTTAATTTATAAAGGGGACCCACACACACCAACACTGACAATAGCTCCTCTGCCTATTAGTCATCTTCAGCTCTTGTCAGTCACACACATTGGTATAGTAGAGTATTGCTTAATTATAACATAAGTGTGAAAGTGTCATTAAATGTCTGTTCTTTATGTAAACCTCTGTCTTGTTTCTTTCTTTACAACCTTTCAGTTACAATTGGTTTAGAAATATATATACCCAATCCAGAAATCTGAAAACCTCCTGTTGTTAGCTGGCCTAACTACTCTGCTCTGCTGGTTATCCAAGAGAATCACAGGACGCAACAGGTTGGCACACCTATCACTATTTTTTGTATATTATTTATTTATCTTTACTTTATTTCATTATTTATTACTACTATTATTATGATGCATAATGTTTATTTTCACTTAGTTCCCAAATTAAATAAGAGTGGGATTGCACTTTTAATATAAAAATGTGGAGATCATGACTGCTAGTTGTTGCTCAACACTGAAGTAACAAGGAAAACAAATTCAAGCCCAGCCTGGCATTAACAGTTGCATTAATTAAGCAAATTAATCCAACATAGCTATTATATTCTCAAAATAACAAAGAATTATTTTCAAATTTTGTAAGAAAATAAGAAGGATATTAATACTACAATCAATAAGAACAAAAGCTACAAAGGCTTCACAAAGTAAACCAGGTCGTAAGAGTAGGAACCTATTGACTTACTCAGGCATATCATGACTAAAATTTGAAGTTTTTATGTATATCTGTATTTGAGTTAGTTACTATCACAACCACAAAAACCATACATACATACAAACTTGTGACCATAGCCCTACTTATGCTTCTTGTCTTTGTAATATAATGTCACAATAGTTTTTTAAAGTAGTGAAGTTAATTATTTTGCTTAAAAGTAATTAGGTTGTTGTTCCATTTTATCTAACAGTTAATGGATAGGCCTATTAAATTTACTAACTAATGTAATTCCTTGACACTACAGAGTAGGCCTAGTATTTACAATCTGCTTGATGCTATAGCAAAAGGGCAAACAAACATAATCTTAATTTAGCAAATTTAATAAACTGATACATACAAAAATATTTACAAACTATTCTTCTCACCTGAATTAAAAACAATAACAAATTAACAAAACATACTTATCCATTCAGTGAAATATTTATTAAACTGGTTCTTTCAAAGCATATCAATTAATTAATCTAAAATTAGCTAACCTTTCTTGGTACGGTAAATGATAGTACTTCACAAAAGCCACTGGAAAGTAGACGAAAAAACCTGAAATACAAATTTACATAGTTATGAAAAAAAACACAAAGCAAAAATAAAACTAAAAAAAAATAATAATGGACAGAAAATCTTGTTACAAAAATATGAGGATGATAGCTATGTGTGCTTTGTGCTCTGCTAGTTCAAGTGTAGTGGTGCTTAATGTTAAATGAGCATTTATGAATTTTCATAATCTTACATTTCATCATTTCAAAATAATCTGATAAAATTACAGTAAGCCTAATGCCCTACAAAAACTTTCCCAAAATATATACTTTAAATTTAGCATGTTATCAAGCTGTGCTTTCCAGATAAGTAAGGGTTTAACACAATTAAAAAACAACTAAAAATGTTAAAAACTTTGTCTTATCTTTCAACATATCTTCCCATTTCCAATAGTTAGTATTAACTTGTTTAATTAAAGTTTTATAGCATGTAAACAAATTAAATGTAAAAAATTATGATATAATTACAATAGAGTATTTCCTGCTGTATCAGAAATAAAAGGCCATAAATTAACTCTGGGGAACACTGTCAACATTGAAATTTCAACTTCTTTGCATGTTGCAATCTATATAATTCTAAAAATTTACATATGAGAATATTATTTCTAACTTTTTTGCTTTTAAAGAATAAAACTGATTGAAAGACAGCAAGCTACTATAGTGACATCAAGTTAACATCGGAATCTGACGTTATCACAGCCCCAGCCAGCATTAGTAAGTCTAATTTTATTTTTTAGTGCAAGAGTAAAATTTCAACTTGTGAATTTATTATTATTATAAAACTTTACAGACATTTCAATAGTTGAAATTCTTTTTCCAGTATATTCTTTGTCCATCATTTCAAGCAGTTATTCTTTATAACTCATTTAAAAAGTGATAAGTGAAACACAATTTTGTAAAAAATCAGTTTTGACTCAAAAGTCTGTAGGCTGATAAAATTTCTGGCACTTACTAAGACTTTTGCACATCCTAACAAGATTGTAAATAAAAAGAAAACATCTTTAATATTCCAAATTATTGGATTTAAGTTGGTGTAACATACATTATACACAACAATTAAATGTTTAAAAAATATGAGAAATATACTTTCATAATTTCTCTCAAAATAAAATTGAAATTGAATTCCTCTTCAAGAAAGCGCTGTTTTATTTTCTATATGAACTGATTAAAGATGGCGATCTATGTAGGAAGTTTTTCTTCAAATTAGTTTCAAACAATAGAGTTAGATATAAACAGTATGTGTCT